CTGATGAAGCATATAATTATCTCTAGGAGAGTGGGGAGTTGCTTTTTTAAAATTATTATTAGGTTTTTATTATTATTAATTTTATTATTAATTTTAGTTTGGTTGGTGGTGGGGTGGGGGGTTGTTGTTGTTTGGGGGTTTGACACCCATCCAACCTGGTCTTGAACATTTCCAGGGATGGGGAATCCAGAGCTTCTTTGGGCAATGTTACAGCATCTCACCATCCTCACAGTAAAGAATTTCATCCTAATACCTAATATAAACTTTCCCTCTGTCACTTTGAAGGCATTCCCCCTTGTCCTATGACTACATGCCCTTGTAAAAAGTCCCTTGCTGTCTTTCTTGTAAGTCCCCTTTAGTCATGAAGTCTGATTATCAAGACATCTACTTTGCAGAAAGTAGTAACATAGTAGTAAAAATAACAATGCTTAGTAATTACATAGCACTGGTACAATGTGTAGGCAAAATTTTCATCACTTAACACCCTCAAGTGTGCCAACACCTGCCCCTCAAGCCTCCTCCCCAGTACTGTGAAGGAGGAACCAAAGGAGTTTTATCTGCTGCTTTATAAGAAAGGGACACTAAGAGGTGAAGTGTGATATAAGGTCAGAACAACTTGGAGAGGATTTTCCAGCCATGAGCTACTTTCCTTGGGAAGTGGTAATAGAGAAAGTGACTAAATTTTAGAGAAATGGAAATCTGGTAGAGTTTTGTTGAACTGGCATGGGCAGTTGCTTACTAACCACACTGTCAGCACTCTGAGGAGTATGCATAAAACAAAAAATGAAAGGGAAAAAGCTGTAATCAGTGGTCATAGGGAAATTTGACATGACTTTGCAAGGTCATCATTGGGTATTTGGTGTAAGGTGTTGTATGAACAGAAGGGTGTGAAACCTCTGCTTTGCATGAAGAGTCAGATGACTTCCAGGCAGAAAAATGAAAAAATGCCCGGGGTTTCATTTCCTACTGTGTTTGGAAGAGATGATGATCCCACTGTGACTATGGAGTCATACATGAGAACCACTTCAAATCTATGCAACACAAGACTTTTCAGTATTATTCAGGCATCTCTTTCAGCTAGATTAGGACTAGTGCTCAGACGAAGAGCTTGTGCTAGTGCTGAGTGTTCAGTACTCTCCAGCATGCATTCAGTACATATCTACTAAGGAGCACAAATAAAATATTGGATACTCTTAGGCCTTTGGCTCTGTGTCATAAAGGACAGATATTTTCAGGATTCCTCTGTGTTGTTTTCAGGATCTCCCCTACTGATTCTCAGGAAAGGCAGAGCAGAGGAACTGTCTAAACCTGGGCCTGCCTCACAACCTGACTCTTCACAGTTCTTGGGCAATAAAACATACAATGGACAATGGTGACCTGGTTAATCACTTTTGGGTGGAATGGGAAACAAAACAGGGCTGGAAGACACATAGGACCCATGAGATTTATGTTCTGACCTTCTACTCTAGGCTGTTGTCTAATTTCAAAACGATTTGCAGAGATGTGCTATTGTGTGTCAACAGAAGAGAACCTTATGAGGCAACTTTGTCAACGTTAACATGACACCATTTATTCAAATGTAAAGGTTTTGGATGGGAGCCCCTGGTGGTCTAGTGGTTAGGGCGCGGCGCTATCACCGCCGAGACCCGGGTTCGATTCCCGGTCAGAGACACTCCCCGGGCTGATGGAGCTCGTTAACCCTGTAAAAAGGCAACCCATCTACGTCCTAAGGACCTCGCTGCCACCGTCCAAGCTCGCTTGGCCCCGGCAGATGAACCTTAGGATTAAAGGGTGGGCTCAGTTCCGCGCACACTGTGTCTCACCTAAAAAATCCAATGCGCAGGCTGGAAGGTGGAAAGACCTTCCCCGGATCTTCGCTTGTGAAGACTGGCCATTAAAGGTTTTGGAAAAGGGATCCTAAATTTCTCTATTAAAATACATTTCTGTTCATCTGTCTGATGATTTATCACAAAACATTCAATGCTTTTTTTGACAATTTGAATGTGGAGATAAGTAAAAGGCCTGAATGTAGTCTCTACAGGCAGGAAAGTGTACCTAGAAGTCAGACCTGCACATAGAAGATAGCATGATAGAGCCTGATGTCATGGCTTTCTTTGTTCTTTGCAGAATTTCTTGCCTCAGTTTATGATATAATACTCATAGCATTGCATAATAGGCAAACGACCACAATGGGACTGGGAGACCCTATTTTGTTCCTAGATTTGCCTTTCCTAGATGCTGAATGATCATGAATTGCTCTGTGCTTCTATTGTCTTACTTGTAAAATTGGATGCATGGCAGTGGTCTTCTGAAATGTGAGATTTAGTGATTGAATTGGCCATATAACCCCTGAAAACTACAAAAGCTGAGTTAGGAAAACGATTTCTTTCTGATACTTCACCCTCCTCTTATTCTTAGAAGTTTAGTAGCAGTGTCAGACCAAGTAGGGGTCACCTGGGAGATACAGCCAGCTGTGTGACAAATTTAACAGGGTAGTCTAATCCAGCACAGTCACTCTGAGTGAATAGTTCTCTGTAGAGGGCAGTATTACTGACTTAATATATCAGTTCCTGGAATCTTCTGCCTGGATGGGTAATTACAGCAATTAGTTGTGTTCAGAAGACTGAGCTGTTTGAGTAATGAATCTCTTCCAAATTCCCTACTTGCAGCTCTTCTTTATACGTTCTCTAGTAATTCAACAGAAAAGCACTGCTCAAATTAAGACCTTTTTGACAAATTAGGCAAAAATTGGGCTTGATGACCCAGTCTCCCTTCTAGTTGCACGTTTCTGACAGCAAAAAGAGTGCCACACGTAACTAGAATCAGTTTTCCTCTGCCTCTTAACGTACCTCTTCCAACACTTTGCCAAAGAGTTGCTCTATAGATTCGTGGCCAGTCACTGAACCTCAGCACATGTCCCCATCTTGTAAAATATGCTTTATTTTCCTGTATGTATGAAACTACATGTAACTGTGCCATAATATACCATTTGACTCTGCTTGCCTTGCTTAGCAATCCGGATGTTTCAACATTACCTGTAGGTTTGTTCAGTGTGCTGACATTTGTGAGTTCACTTTGAATTGTAAGTCCATTTGGAATCTTAGTGGGACCACCATTTTATAGCCATCCTTGGAGGCGTTTAAAAGACATGTAGATGTGGTACTTGGGAACTTGATTTAGTAGTGGACTTAATAGTGTGAGGTTAGCAATGGTACTCGATGATTTAAGGGTCTTTTCCAAAGATAAAAATGATTCTACAATTCTGATTTCTAGCACAGAATGCTAGAATCAAAATGGTCTGAGTTGGAAGGAACCTTTGAAGATCATCTAGTTCAACCCCTCTGCCATGGGTGGGCATGTTAACTTTGCATTTATTTACAGATCTTTGAAGCATCCTTGAATTATCACCTTACCTTCCTGTCAACAGTTCCAGCAATCAAGTTATTGCTTAACCAGTTTTAACTTCTTAAACTAAAACCAAGATGAGTGTTGTACACTGCTACTATCCCAAGCAGACTACAGCCCTAATTATTGTGAAGTACCACTGTACGTGTTGTGAGATGTGTCCCATCTGTCTATGCTGCCGTTCCCAGGGAAATGTAGCATTCAGCTTTTGGGCCTGCAATTGTTGGTGAAATTTTCTTCTTGTCCCTGTAAAATGGCACTTACCTGTTTGCAATGGTAGTAGTAGCCTAGATCTCTTCCACAGATGGAAGTACTCTTTCAAGCTGCTGATGGAAAATGTTTGATGGCATTAGTGGTCATTTGCTGAAATAGGAGGAGCTGCTGGGGAAGGGGAGAGCTTCTTGCAGAGAATACCCAAAGAGCCACATGGAGCTGTGCTGAAGACTTCAAATATATCTGTTGGGGCCCAGTTTAATTCTCATCCATTTCTCATGAGTTACAGATACCTTTCACTTCACCTGTGGGAACTGAGCCCACAAGTGCCCTCTTCCTGATCTATTTTTTTTCTTTTTCCCTGTAAGCTCCTTCTTTCTTTCCCTTTTAGGCTCCTGCCTACCCTGCATTCATATACTACAACCTAAAATTATATGGTTTGTTCATAAGGCTCTTCAGAGTAAGCTCTTATCCAATTACATGCATCAAAGCAGCATTTAGTTCCCATACAAAAACATTTTCCTCAGCTATCGTTAATACAGTTGTTTCATGGTTCTGTATGCACTTGGAGATTATCCTGTCTGTCTTCTTCACCTGGGTTTATTTCTTCCATGTCTTTCATATTCTACACACATTAGTGCAAATGAATGGGAATGTGGGGAACTTTATCGTTGCCAAGCAGAAATGAATGTCTTAAATACTAAATATTATCCCAGACTAGACAACCATAGAGGAATTTAATATGATGCATAATTTCTTTCGTGTTGGAACCACATTTGCCCAAGTTTATTTTGAATCTGAAGGTGAAGAATGAGAAAGCAGCAGAAATACACTTTAGACTATGGAAAGAATGCAAATAGTGTTTCACAAAAGGACAGCAGTAGGAAGAATGTTTAAATCTCTAAGTGACTCTGAAGAATGCCATGGCAATCTCAGTGGTTACTTCAAAAGAATACCAGAAATGAGTTGACTGTTATACTGACCCTTTAACCACAACATAGGACTTTTTTTCAGATAGCGTGTACGAATATGCTTGAGGCACAATGCATACTGCTCGATCAGTATCATAATTTCCCCCCTTTCCCCAACCACGTGTAAAAGAAACTTCAGAATCTGCCACGTAAATGTTACCCGTTGACGAACCACCGAAATTTTTTCCAGGACCGTGCTTTAACAAAGATGCTTTCGAGGGATTCCCGTGTTCAGCCAAAAATGAAGGGTTCTTATCTAACACTATCTTGTCTAAATATACACAGCCTGTGATGACGAAATAAAAAAATTTTGAGACCAGGTATAAGTACCACTGACAGGCAGATGAAGTTCATTCGTCTACTCTCTTCTAATAGAAGGCTTAACTATTAGAAGTTGAAGTGCACTGCTCTTAGAACTGACATCTCCCAGAACTTACCTGAGCAGTTTAACTGAACCATCACCAAGAAAATGACTTTCCAAACCTACAGCTTGTTTGTTCTGTCTATCATCATGATTTATTTTGGACGTGTTGAAAATAGATTTAATCTTCTTCAACTTCAAGATGATATAGACAAACTGAAAGCTGATTTTGTAAGTATAGTCTTCTACTGCATTTCTCTTCTTCTTCTGCTTGTGCTTTACATATCATCTAAACTTGAGCACTGTTGACATACTCAATGTGTACCAATAGAGGGTAATCATGGAACAAATTTTTTGGTTATACTTTTTTTAAACAAGAATATGGACAATTTCTTTGGCTTTGCTAAACTCCCTCATTAACCTGATTTAGTATTTCAATAGTCACAGTTACTGTAGTCATTTGCATTTATTTCAGGGATGCTCTTTCTTTCACAAGAGCTTCTCCCAGATCAATTCAGCCTTTGATTACATGGAATATCTTCTAATAGAAAATCTTAATGCAATGCATGGAGAATATATGAATATTTATTCAATTCAGACTAGATGTAATCTACTGACTTTTTAAATTTTATGTTAGCAATGTTATTGGGGGGTTTAGTATTAGTTAGTAATACAAAAAAAATTGAGATGAACTTCTGCTTTAACAAATGCACTTTTGTTACTTATTATTAGTTGCAGTAGTGTGTTTCCCAAAGGTGGTTCCTACTTCTTATTCTTTTCCATCTTCCAGTCATTCCAATTCCACATCTTTGACTATGATCTGGCAGAGGAATGTAATCTGGCATGATATTCTTTCTTTTCGGGTAGAATTTTGGTAACTTGATAACTGTGATGTTAATTCACCAGCCTTCATCTAGGAGGCATTAAAGTAGTTCACAGTTGAATTCAGCTGGGATTAGTCATAGAGATAGCAGATCTACAACAGAGTCACTTCTAATTAACAGCTTTTATTCTTAATATATTTTTGTTGTTTTTTTCTTGAATGCATGAAAGCAACTGCAACAGTCTGCTGCTATTTTCAGCTATGATTTTGTCATAATTTTGTGCAAATGCCATTTGAAATTCAGTAGTCAAAAAACCACTCTGAAGTGGTGAAGACTAGTATAATACTTCAGTTTTTGCCAATTGTCAGAAAGGTGCTGTAAAATTTATATTATATCTTAAATTTGTTATTAACACAGAGCAGAGGGAGTCTCACTAGAATATATATAACTCTGCTGAAGACATCTTGAGCCATAGTGAGGTTTTTGCACTGACATTAAAGCTCTGGTTCACAGCAGGTGCTCCCCACCTTTCAGAAGAAGAACAAAACAAAGTTTGGCAGTGTGGTCAGCATGGGGAGCCAATCAGGCTAGAAGGTTTCTGTCAACCTGCAAGTTTTCCCTTTGCTCTCACTGTATTTAAATTACTGAGCAGACAAAAGAAGGAAATAGTCACTGTTGTACACAAAAAGAAAAAAAAAGAACAGACGCACAAGAGGAAGTGATTCAATTTGCCTTTCCTTGGTAGGAGAATTGTATTGCTCTTTTTTTCCTAGCATCTGACACCGTGTGTCACTAACATCTGATGGTTAAATGCCGCCCTGTGAGCTTCTCAGGAGCACACTAATCTTGCATATACTCAGCCTGACTGTGGGCTACTGGGCTGTTCTCCAGTTCTATAGTTTGTTCTTGTTTCATATGAGATTTTATTAAGACTGCATGAATTTAAGGCCACAGATGACTACATACTGCTGGACTTTGACTTACCAGAAGACATGTCAAATTCAGGCCTAATGATTTTCTAGTCAGTTGCTGTGTTTATGAGCTTTTATTTTCATCTGTCAATAGCTAAAACATTTGGGAAAACAGATGTGTTCAACATCTCAGTTTAGGTATAGCAGGAGAAGCATTGAAAAGCAGACTAATGCCATTTCTGATAGTAGGCAGCCATGCAATGGTATTTGGTGCTTAAAGAAGTCAAAGCATTGTGAGAGCTATAGGCCAGTGGTACAAAAATCTGGATTTTACTGCTTATTTGATTAGAGAACACAAATTTGCCTCGTAAAAGTATTGTTTGTACGACAGATATGTTTGTTCTTTGTTGCAGAACTCAAGTCATTCAGATGTAGCCGATGGCAGACCAATCTTTACAGGGAGATTGTCAAACTGGACAGAGGTGAGTCAGAAATAGATATGAAAAAGCATCTCAGGTACTTTTCAGGGTTCTTTTGGTACAAAGTAGCTCCCAGAACCAGTGTAGTTAGCAGGGGTAGAATGAACATGAGCAGAGTTCTATTTGGTAACTTGGAAATGAGAAAAAAATCCCCATAAAAATGCTTCCCATAAGGGTCAAGGTGCTTTGTACTGCACCATGAAATGATCTCAGATACAGACAAGCCAGGGGGTGATTTGCAACTTCTTCTTTATCATCTTGTTTTAAGTGGCAGTGAGAATCCCTGTATGCTGTGTTTTATCTTCATTCATTTCCCTGCTGATGAGCACTCACAGACCTTTCTTTTTCAACAGAGAAATGAAAAAAGGATCATCCTGAGTCAGATTGTTTCCATGTACTTGAAAATCCTTGAAAATACTGACAAGTCAAAGGCGCATGTCAGGAACATAACTGAGGAGCTCTATACTCTGAAAGAAAGCCTTTCTGATGGCTCAAAGAAGATGGAATATCTCAAGGACCTGACAAAGCTTCAGGTAAGGGTCTTCCTTTGCCTCCAAGGCTCATCACGTTATATTTTCCAGTTGTGATTTGAGTGTGATTCAAGCCAATAGGGCTCCAGCAACTCATATGGTAACCCTTGTCTAGCTCACTTCACACTGGAAAACCTAATGTTTCCAGCTGCAGGGGCTGCTGCAGGTCTACAGTGTGGGGTAGACTCCTGAGTCTTGCTGGAGTTTGGTACGAAGGTGCTGACAGCACCTCCACTCAGTCTGCACACCAGAGCTGACACTGACAGAGCCTTTGTGGTTTTGGAATTGGGTGGGAAAGTTGTGCCCAGCTAGGGTGTGCCCTATGGCTTTGGAAGCACTTGGCTTATCGAGCGAGTGCCAATGGCACAAACCACTGACCTCTGCAGAGCTCTGCAGACAATACTCCAATGGAGTTAGCTGCTTGTAACTACAGAGCAGCTCTGTGTCACAAAATATATCTGGTCTGTGGCATGTTGTGAAGTAGTACAGAAGGTGAAAAACAAAAATCTGTGACAAAGTGGCTCTTTGCTGTAGGAATTAGGTAGAAGAGTCATTGAAAACTGCAGATGTCCATCGGTTTTACTCTGGTAGCAGGGTGGCCTATGGGATGTGATCAGTAAATGATTATAGCTCTTGGCATAACTTCCATTTGCTTTGTACTTTTAACAGGTGAATGACTTGAAAATTCAACGCAAAGCTGTGAATGAGCTGTTCAGTGTCTTACAAAAACTGGGAGATACTACAAGTTCTTACAAAAGAAAAAGAAGCCAGTTTCAGAGGGAGTGCAAGTGCTAATGCCATCTTATGTTCTTTTGTACAAATCTTGTTGTGACACAACTTTTTTATTTTAAGCTTTCTATTGAATTTTTATACATTTATTTATTAATATTTAAGTATTTTAAATAATTATTTATAAAGAAATACTGATCAGAGTATTTATATGCCCTACTACTGTATAAGAAATAACTTTGTCTTAAAATTCTGTCTATTCGTTGTATGTTTGTTGACCTGAAAATACAGAATGAGACAATGTTTACCCAGTTTTCCATATGGAAATCTTGAAATGACATGATAAGGTACCCAGCTTTCCATCTGGTGTGTCTTGAGAGAGGATTGGTAAAAGATTAGTCTCATCGTTAATCTATTTGGCATGGAGATACAAGCATCAATAGGGAGAATTCATTGTATTCAGAAAAACATATTCATGTCTGCCTATTACTAAACATATTTAAATCTAAATCAAGCAAATAAACATGTTTAAAGATAAGCAAATGCTGACTCACGTTTCTGAAGGAATGTATTGATGATTAATTTCTGATATTTACTATTATTATGCACTGAAGTAACCAGGAGGCCAGTCTACTTAACACCTCAAGGGAATGTGACTAACTGTACTGCACTGACTTAACTTCAACTCTCAGGTTTAAAAAATTGCTGTGTTTTTTTTTTTTATACTGAATAATTTAAATGTGCCTGATGTAATTTTATTTATTTGGAGGTAGTAGTAAGGAAGTTTTTATCCAAAGGACTACATTTTTGTACTGGAGTATTATTAAAAACTTTGGGTTTCTCAATAGAAAGTTCTTGAAATTTGGATTTTAAACAATGAAAGAATAAACAAATAAATATATAATTAAATAATTAAAGTGTGCTTGCATGTTTGTTTACCATAATTTATGTGAAAAGTAAAATGTTAGTCTTGCATTACATTGTCAGAAAAGATGGTCCTGCCCAGATATATAAAGCACATTTTGTTTCCTCCTGCCTGTCCAAGATTTGGGAATGGATAATGTTTTTAAAGAAATCTGGCAGAAGGGTCTCAAATTCCCAAGTTTTACTTTTATCTGGACAAGGAAACATCATTTTGCTTAAAAGAAGGCATTTATCATTTGAAAATTGTTGCTGCTCTGACGTACAGCAAAGGACACTTTCAGATTTCCCTACAAGTCAAAGGTACGGAGCCCAGGCTGAGATCAGCCCGTCTGCCGGGCTCTTTGCGAGTGGTACAAGCTGGAGGTCTGGGGCTGCTTGGGCTTTGGCCACTCTCATAGGCTTGGGTTTGGGCTCCCAAAATCTTATGTCCTCAGGGCTTTACCAAGCAAATTATCTGGGGCAGACTGGCTGGGCTGACTGGGAACGGGGCAGATTTTCTTTGGCATTCCTGCCAACATGAGACTTCCAACTACCCCCTGAACTTGAATCAAGGAATTCCAGAAATAATACCCTATCAAGTCCAAAGTTTAGTTGGAGTAAGTCCAACAAGCTTAGTCATAATTGCTGCAGCCCTTCCTACTCCCATGGGCCCAGCTGTCTCCCTTGATGTAAGATAATTTCATTCATATTCTCATTTGACAGTCATAACAAAGCAATTCAGTAATCCTGGAGACTTGAACTGGTTTTGAAGGAAACAGCTGTTCCTGTTTGTATTCATCACAGACATGCATATGCATGTGAGATGCAAGTAAAATAACTCTGTGGGATTTCTCCTGTTCCAGGAGAAGCCTCAGTAAGCATTTAACATAACAAGGTGTCCTGTGCTCATGCTCTTTCACGAGGTATTAAAAGAGACTAACTGTCCTCTGGGGACACACAGCCAGCTGTAGCAAATTCTATCGAAAAAAATATAAAAAATATAAAAATAAAAGAAAGAGAATGAAGAAGAAGTGAGAGAAAAACAAGAAAAAGGGGAAGGGAAGGGAAGGGAAGGGAAGGGAAGGGAAGGGAAAGGAAGGGAAGGGAAGGAAGGAAGGAAGGGAAGGAAGGAAGGGAAGGAAGGAAGGGAAGGGAAGGGAAGGGAAGGGAAGGGAAGGGAAGGGAAGGGAAGGGAAGGGAAGGGAAGGGAAAAACCAAACAGGTTTACTCTTGAGTAAATTAATACAATACTTTTTTTAATTTAAAGCCAGAACTGGCTAGGAGCTACTTTATTAGGCTATAAAATGAGAAGTGTATAGTCTTTCCACACCTTGCCAAAGGGATCCATGGAAAAACAAGTAAGGTAATTGCTTTACATCCAGAAGAAATAAAAATAACATTTCCCAATCCATCCTGCCTTAGCTGTTTGTACCCAAGCCTGTCCCATTTTCTGTACTCTGCTGTCCCGTGCATTCCTGATGTTATCACATTAAATCTGGCTCAAAACAACAAGTGTTTGGGGAGGAGTTTATTGCTCAGTCACACAATTTCCCAGGTTCCTCTCATGCTAGTGCTTGGTAGCAGAGAAGTAGGGAAGGAATGAGCGGTGCAGAGATGGAGTGGCAGCTGGCACTGCTGACAAAATGTGTTTGTACACTCTCATTTCAGTAGTTTATTGGTTTGGGGTTTTTTCATTTGTTTAGTTGATTGGTTGGATGTTTTCTTCCTTTTCCTCCAAAGTATCCTCATTTCACCCCAGAACTTTTTTTAAGCATTTTTAAACCTTTCATGTTAAGCCTGACACCAGACAGTGCAGAGTTTCACCAGTGCTGCCCAAGTCACCTAATCCTTCAAAGAAATCTAAATAATTAGTTTCTTATATCGACCTGATTTTTCCCTACCCAGTGTAAGTATGTGAAACCCATTTCTACAGGATCTTAAGATAACTGCTGAACATTTCTCACTTTGCTCCATTACTCTGATAACAGTGTCAGAGAAGAACATAAAAATCAGCCTCCAGAAGACCACATTTTTCCCATCCTCTCCCTTCTCCTCCCCATCCCATTCTGTTCCCATCCCCTCTCCTCCCCCCTCCCCATCCCATCCCATCCCATCCCATCCCATCCCACCTCACCCTATCCCTTCTCCATCCCTTGCCCTCCCCTTCCCTTCCATGCCATGCCTTTTCTGTATGATACACAGTTGTACACTGTACAAATTAGGCAAATCACTTGTAACATGAAAACTTGTCATCTCTTCTCTCCCATTTGCCAGAGTCCTGGACCTCATTTTCCGTGTCATTCCTCACGATATCCAAGTGAGGAAGGCACTTCCAGCTAAGCTAAATTTAAGTGTCACATGAATTTTAATGGATACTGTAAATATTTACAAAGAAAAACATAGCAGAGGTCTTGGACATTTTTTACTGAAGGTCATCATCATTTTTTCCAGCTACACAATCTGAGAGGGTTAATAGATGCACATGCTTGGGAGTGAGAAGATATTATCTCCTAATAGTAGTTAAAACTAGAAAGGGGAAAATTTAAGAGGAAAGACAAAATTGTCTGAGGATGTCACTGTGTTTTACGCATCACTTGTGCAGCAAATTGATTCTGTCCTTACTCTCTCTTCCTCCATATTATCAGTACTGATTTTAATCTGCCATTTTATCACCTTGCCACTCTGTATTTCAAAGTCCTTAAACAGTTCTTTGCAGCAGGATCTCTTCTCTGTATCCTGCATAACTTAGTACATCAGTAAACTTAGTTATGAATATTAATAGCTCACTATATAAGCAAACTTTATTGTGAATATGAATAACTAAGTAAATAATATTAAGTTAATATTATTAACTTAGTACTTCAGAAACCTTATCTCACAGCTTCCCATTTTTCTCAAGTTGCTGATGTGTACATTTTAAATCATGGAAAAGACCTGTTAGCCCAGCACCACTGTGTTCACCCCCAAACCATATCCCCAAGTGCCACATCCACACGCCTTTGCAACAGTTCCAAGGATAGTGATCCCACCACTTACCTGTGCAACCTATTCCAATGCCTGACCAATGGCACAGGCCACAGGCAAGCCCCATTATGACTGAACCCACTTAACTGTAAAAACCATACACTGATCTCTGGTTTTTTTTTTTTTTTTTTTTTTTTTAATATATTTTAACCAGTGGCTTATTTATGTGAGGAATTCCTAACAGTTTAACTTCTTTTGTAGCTTTACATTGAGACTCACCAGAGACTCTTTTGAAGCTTTGAAGACATGGTAGTGTTTTGGCTCCCCCTTGTCTGTATTCATTAAGTTTTCAGTAAACTCTAGTGTGGTATATCCTGTCACAAATGCCATATTTATTATTTTCTTTTGCACAGCATTTATTCATTGGCCCACTCTGTCTGGGTATGTGTGGTAGGGATGTCAGCTTTACTGGTTTGTTGTTTTCAGGGATTCCCCTGAGGCCTTTTAGGAAATTAAAAGTCAATAAGTCCACTTTGTGCATCCCTGGTATAGGGGCAGACTCAACAGTAGATTGTATCTTGCACCCCTTAAAGTCTCTATTTTGTCTGCATTGTGCTTGGGTCCTGCAGGACTCCTGGGTGAAGGCTTTCAGCTCAAATCTGACCTTGCCATTATCTTCCTCCAATAGTCTAGGAGTGACCATAGGATTATTTTTTGTCAGTGGGAATCAGGAATAATAAAAAAGTCTAAAAAAGGTCTGGAGGTGGAAAAATTTAAACCTGGCAGACAAGGGTAGGATTTTCAGCCCAATATAGCAAATACTACAAAAACTCTCCCCTCTTTGCTGTCTTGTGTGGGGCATAGAAGTGACAACAGCAACTTCTGCAATGCGTGAGATTCAACAGGCTGCTGAAGTAGGTGAGGAGTAGCACGATGGCCCAGCAACAGCAACAAATATGACTTCTGGGTGTGTTATGTAGCAGTTGGCCTTGGTGCAAGATAGTAAAAGAAGGCTACTTGAAGAAGAATATGAAGAACTTTACTGTGTGGGTGACTGTGCACCAGAAAAGGTTGCCCAGAGAGGTTCTGCAGTCTCCCTTTTACTGGAGATATTCAAGAGCCATCTAGACACAATTCTGTGCCATGTGCTCTGGGATGACCCTGCTTGAGCAGGGAGATTGGACCTGATGACCCACCGTGGTCCCTTCCAACCTGACCCATTCTGTGATTCTGTG